TTTATTCCTCAACTCCCCTTGCCCTCCCTACATGCAACCTTCCCCCATAAACCATTGCATCAGTTATTGTCTCTGTGCATCTACTCTCTGCACTTCATAAACTGGGAAGCCTAACAGAAACAATAAAAACCAAACCGAGAGAATAAAATAATAATATAAATATTAAAATAAAATAAAAAGTAAAAAAGACCATCAGCAATATTAAAAAGCCCAGGAAGAAATTTCTGTCATGGAACACATGAGAAATATTGAAGCCTAGAGAAAATTCAGGTTGGGTCGAGGGAGGTCACCTGACCAAGCATTATATTATACTGTAGTTCTATCCACCATTATCAGGTTTGAAATAATTTCTGTCTGATGGTAATGAGGTTCGCATCCTTCACCTGTGACCAGAAGGGATATGTCAGAGGCTAAATCTGTAGATGGATTTGGGTTCCCACTGTCCTCCATAGCCTTTTGCAAAGTAGGTGTCCACCATTTATGCTCTGACAATTTTTCCTTCAATATATTTGGATTCTGTCCTTGTCATCTTTGAATGATACAAGCTGGTGTGCTTCTTCCTTGTGGACTTAGTTGACATCTCACTTAGATGGCTGCTTGTTTGAATACAAGCCTTTACGACCTCAGACACTATTCCAATTGATAAGTGGGCACTGTCTGCTTTCTTCACCACACTTTACTGTAGCACCCTTATCTTCAGTGATCTCTTCATAAGGCAACAATTGAGCAGTGCCATGTTATAAGAACTAAGTGTTGTTGGATTGGGGCTAGAATTAAGTGGGATCCAACAACCCATCTGCTTGTCCTCAGGACATGAGCAATTCTGGCTTTCATTAGCAGTGGCCTCCTATTGTTTTGATGTAGTCAGTTCCTGGTGTAAGGTTTAAAACCGGCATGACAGATGTTAATCCAGGTGGCCCACAGTACAATTCTGACACCTGTTGATCATTAAATCCTTGTTCACTAGCAGTTGTCTAGGTGCTTTACCTCTTTTTTTTTTTTAACATTTTATTAGGGGCTCATACAACTGTTATCACAATCCATACACACATCAATTGTGGTGCTTTACCTCTAAAGGTTAAAAACCATCGCCACTCTTCTGCTTACATAGACCAGCTTCTGTGATAAAGGAAAAGTTGAACTTTGTCTCCTAGGCTTTGAAAATGGCAAATGCAAGATCTCTATTTTTAATATAACTTCAAGACTCTTGAAAGACACTTTGTAAATACTGTACACAGAGAGAAGGGACTTAGCTCCTTCTCCCTCACTGTTTTGTCTGACAACATTACTTTCAGGGCTCATCTCCTTCAGACAGCTCAAGGTCTGGGGGAAATAAAATAATTACTCTTCCAAAATGTTGGGAACCCAAATCTAAATGTTTAAAAACTAGCTTATCTGTTTTTTACACCTCGATAGCTAAACTTTTTAAAACTCTCCCTCCGTTGAAGCTTTGGGAAACTAAATAGTCATGCAGAAAAGATTTTGGATTTCCTTTGATGAGAACTGAAATACTATTCCTCTCATGCTAATGTTCATTTCCAGGCAGTTAGCTTGGTCAGCCAAGAGAAAATAAAATCTTTATATGAAATGCGTTTTTTATAGCAAATACAAAGCATCATTATTATCAATTCTTTATAGAAAAAAGCAGTAACAGTACAAATGCACATCCTTTTTGTTATTTAAATATGGCATGATACATTGGGAAATAGTACAGATGTTAATCCACAGCCTCTCAGCTGCATCCTGGGTAATCATTATGATGTTTTATTCTTATTTGGAATTACTACTAATAGACTGCATTTCTGTATGAAATTTAAATCAGGGAACACCAGTGAATTGAGATGATTGATATTATATATATATATATATCCACATATAATTTTAGAATCAGGGACAACAATAGCAAGATTTGTCTCTTAGAAGAATCCATTGAACATGTTGCTATGATCTTGAAGAGTAACACTTTTATTTAACTAGATATGATAAAAATACATGCAACTCTTCCTGGGTGAAATCCTAGTCCCACATCTAACTTTGTTTTAAAAATATTGATGCAGTTGCTAAAAAGTCCAAAATGCAAATGGCCAGTTTGAATTAGCTGGCTTTGAACCAGGGGTGTTAATAAAAATACTTGTGTGCGTGCATTTCTTCTGTGCTCTTGTTTTGTGTTCTTTGACAAATCTGTTTTTTTCTTTGCTTTTGTCATTGACGTTGGGTTCTGTACACTTGGTAAGGAGAGAGGATGGTGATGTAACTTTGCTTCTTTGAGTACACATCTCATGTCTGTGTGTGTTCTTTCAGGGGAAAGTGTTCCCAGCTACTTTCCCATTCCATTTTCCCATTTGCTAATGTAGAGCCAATGTCTTAGCCCAATTCCTGATTTGAGAGATGAGAAACAGAAGCCTACTTGGTTCTCAGGAGCACACAGAGTTAACGGTGGATCCTGTAGGTTGAGTCTCCGTCGCGGTGTTTTTAAATCTATACACTGTGTGTGCTTTCAACAAGGACATTGTTTGTCCTCCTCACTAAGTTAGAAAAGAGAATTCTTCTTGTCTCTTCACATTTTTCTTTGCTCAAACTACCTAAACATGTAGATCTTTTAAAGCCTGTCTTAAAAAGTGTCCTGTCATGGGTCATCTCAGTCCCCAAACCAGCTTTATTGTTTCTCCCCAGTCCTGATTCACCTGAATGAATTCAGTTTCATCTTGTCACCAACCAAAAGTCTGGCTATAAATGTTTTCCAGGATTAAAAAAACATAAAACACTGTTGTTGGACTGATTCCAACGCACAGTGACCGATTGTTCAAAACCCGCACTCACATCAGCTGGATTTAGGGATAGCAATTCTCAGCCTTCAAAATCATCAGGTGAGGGTGGCAGTGTGCATAGTCTACTAGCTCACGGTAATATTTAATATTTAATATCCTAAATGCTGGTACTTGCATCACAAAATTCACCAATGTCAAAGCCAACTGTTTAAATACATTTTAAAAGTGGGGGAAAATAGATGTTTCAGCTGGAACACGTTTTTCTTGAGCATTTTCTTTGTATTCACCACTGTCTTGGGGGGGATGTGGTAAGTAACATTAATGCTTGCAAAAAGTTTACAGTCCAAAGAAGGAATAGTAACAGTACAAATGCACTAAATGCACTAAAATGTTTGGTATCTACAAGGATATGTAGCAATAATTATATGATTCAAAAAAGAAAGGGAATGTTTAAAAAAACCATCTAGGGAAAGAAATTAACTTAAATTTAAAGAGCGAAAACCATTTACATGAGAATAAGTGGAGAGGCTAATGTGAACTAATATGTGGGTACTCAAAAGGAAGGATATGAATACACTTCCACTAGAAGTGTGTGGTTTGTGGCCAGGTTCATGGCTATAGCCTTTATTAATGTTTCATGATGAAATAAGTGTTATGCTTCTAGTCTCTGATTGAAAGAAAGCATTTAAAACATCATTGCTGCACCATTTAAGTGCATGATCCGTGACTAAGCCATTGAACTACGTATAGGCCAGTTTGTGTGTTGCTGAGTCACCAGTGGTAACAGCTGTGTGCTACTTAGGGAAGGAAACCATGGATTGATCTATAATTGGTGGAGCAAACAAACAAACTGGTTCTTCATCACAGATCATTTGAGAAGCACCCAGGAGCCCTCTTGGCTTAGTACATTACATGTTGGGGTGCTAGGCACATGAGCAGCAGTTGAACCCACCAGCCTTTCCAAGGGGGAAAGATGAGGTTGTCTGCTTCTAGAAATAGTTATCATCTTGGAAACATTAGGGAGCCATTCTACTCTGTACTGCAGAGTCATAATGAGGTGGCAGTGTGTTTCCTGGCTTGGACTGTATTAATTGGCCTATACTATTGACATATTTGAAGTGTATATGTGCATATACACACTTCATGGTATGTATGATTATGTGTATGCTCATATATACATATATATGCATATATACACACTGCATGGAAAAATTATGTTCTTTTCATTCCATTTTTCCATGGACTTTTTGAAGCCCCTTCCTATTAACAGCTCAGAACTGTTTCTCATTATCAATGTGCTTATGAAATGGTCATTTCTCTCTTCCAATTAAAAGACCCACTATGGAGCAGAGGAATTATAACTTTGTGACATTAGACAGTTTTCCAGGATGACAGTAACACAGAAGGGATGTAGGTGGCACAGAATGTGAGACAAAGTAAAAGGGTAGGCTATAGACAAATGGAATAATAAGATATTAGACCCAAGAAAGACTAATGTCAAGCGGTTAGTGCTTGGACATTATTAGGGAAATATGAATACAATGTTCCACTGCCACCAAGTTGATGTTGATTCATAGTGACCGTGTATGGCAGACTAGAACTGTTCCTGTGGACTTCTAAGACTTCAACTCTCAAACTCACTGCCATTGAGTTGACTCCCACTCATTGCAACCCTATAGGCAGAAGCACCCCTGTGGTTTGCTGACAGGAGTGAAAAGCCTCATCTTTCTCCCACAGAGTGGCTAGTTGGTAAAATCTACAAACCTTGTACTTAAGAGCCCCCAAATTAACTCACTAGACTAGGCCAGAGCTATTTTTCAATACAAAATCTCCCTCGCTGCCATCGAGTCAATAGAGACTCATAGCAACCCCTGTGTGTTTCCAAGACTGTAACTGTTGACTAGACTAGAAAACCCAATCTCTCCCTCAGAGCTGCTAGTGGTTTCAAACTGCTGATCATTTGGATCACAGCCCAATGCATAACCACTCTACCACCAGGGCTCCTTATCAATACAAAGTAGGAGAGTCCATATCTTCTATTCAGAATAATCTTCAAATAATTAGCCTTCAGTGGGAAATCTCATATAGAGGCTGAAACTGAATTTGTGGAATGCTATCATTTCTTGGTAGCGTTTTTCTTTCATTGTCTCTTAGGTGCTGCTGATTCTTGCTGTTGTTTCTATTTGGATAATGCTGCTCTTCATATGTTGACATTTTCTCCTCTCATTTCAGATGACCACACACTACATGGTCCCGTTTTTGTACAAGAGCCAAGTCATGCAATGTTCCCTTTGGATTCAGAGGAGAAAAAAGTGAAGCTTAGTTGTGAAGTTAAAGGGAATCCAAAGCCACATATCAGGTTTGTTGATTTAAAAGCATATGTATGGCTTTTATTATTGCATCAACAAATACTTGCATAGTAATATTATATAAAGAGCTTTTAGATATGATATCCTGACATGTATAAGGAGATGACTGTTTTCTTGAAAAGTGCCCAATTTCTATTTCTGGCAGTTTTGGAAGTTAAGTGCCTTGATTGATAGTCTCACTGAAAGATTTTAGAAATACAGATAAAATATTTTGTTAAGAAGTCACTGTTGTTAAATGTCTCAATAAACCATAGGCAAAGAAGCAACACCCAGAAGCTAGCAACTAAGTGAGCTGGGAGCTTATGAGGTAAACTGAGCTTTTCCCCACAATGAACGACACGAAAGGGTGCTTTGGCTGTTGCACATGAGGTTTGGGGTCAGTATTCAAAGACTGCTTCTCAGAATGGCCTTGAAACCCAAAGTGTACATCCCTGTTATGACTATGAGAGAAAAAAATGACAAGATTTTTATCAGAGACCCAGAGGAGAGGCAAGATGTGATGGAACAAAGGCAATATTTAAAAGATTAGCTTAAAATTTTCCAGAATTTATGTAAAAACTCTAGGCTACATTCTTAGGTTGTTTGATGAACTTCAAGAAGTACAAATAAAAATAAAGCCATATCTAAAATTATTAGGATGAAACAGGAGAGCACCCAGTCAGAGAGGTCATCTTAAAAATATTCAGGAATGCAATATACATTATCTTCTAAAAGAATGGCAATAAACCTCACAGCTGACTTCTCAGTTGCAACCAAGAGACAAAAGATAGAATCTCAATATGCTGAAAGAAATTAACTGTCAATTTTATATCCAGAAGAAATAGATAAAATAAATAGAATTTCAGGCAAAGACCGCCAGCAGCTACTTACTAAAGGAAAGTCTAACACATATCACTTTTGGATAGAGGAAAGATGATCCCCATTGGAAGATCTGAAGTATAAGAACAAATGATGTCTAACTAAGGAAATAAAGTCTATTGCCACTGAGTTGATTCTAACTCATGGTAACCCCATATATTGCAGAGTGGAACTTCTCCACAATGTTTTCTTGTCTATAATCTTTATGTAAGCAAATTGCTGGACCTTTACTTCCATGTTACTACTGGTAGATTTGAACTGCCAACCTTTAGGTTAACAGGAGGGTACAAACCGCTTGTACCATCCAGAGACCAAGAGGATGTCAACAAGTCAAAAAAGTTTATTAATGCCATATAAAAATTGATATTAGAGAATTAAAATACATTAAGTTGCCATGCAAAGAAGAAATTGACATTTTCAACAAAACATTCGTAAGATGAAAAGAATCTGTCCTAAGTAATTGATTTTCCATATGATTTTTAAAAAGAAATTTATGCATGCACAAATATCAATTCCAGGTCAACAAAACATGGAAATGGGAAGCATACAGCAATTTTAAAAGAAAAGATAGCTATAGATTACTTTAAAGAAGGAAAGGATGTCTTATAAATGACAAAACAGTACAAATTGTAAAAGAAACATTTAATTTCCTTCCTATTAAGAACCTGTTTGGCACAATACACTGAGATACCTAAAATTTTAAATTTCAAAGTAGGAGATGAAATTTTTAATATTTATAATTGCAAAGTATTAATGTCCAGTATAGTTAATCAATTTTCACACCTAATATTTTAAAATACAAGAAAAATTATCAAAAGACTTAAAAACTCAATGACCAATAAAAATATAAAAAGATTATCAGCCTCATCAGATAGTAGGGGGATTTGAATTTAACCCCATGCTCAGAGGGGACTGACCAGAGGTTTAATCTACGTGTATTTCCTCCTTTATCTTTTTAAAAACTGAAACAACTTTAAAAATGGGTCAAAAGTGAAATCAAATGATAAAATATTACATTTAAACCTAATTATGTTTGCCATAATCGGCAAGATTTGGTGCATCGAACACTAATGACAGAAAAGCTAATGAACAATGGGATGACATCAAGAACATAATACATAAAAAAGAGCATAATACATGATGAAAGCCAAAGGTCATTAAAAAGACAAGAAAAATTCAAAATGGATTTCAGAAGGAACTCAAAAACTTGCTCTTGATCATAGTGTATCTAAAGCAAATGGAAAATATGATGGACTTAAAGAGCTGAACAGAAATTTCAAAGAGCAAATTGAGAAGGCAAAGTAAAATATTATAAGGAAATGTGTAGAGTTAGTTATGAAAACAAAATGGAAACACACTCAAAGCACATTTTTAACTGAAAGAACTCAAGAAAAAATCGAATCCTTGGGTTGCGATATTGAAAGATTCTATGGGGAAAATATTGACTGAATAGGAAGCAACAAAAGAAGATGGAAAGAATACATTCTCTGTACCAAAAAGAAGTAGCCAACATGCAATCACTTTAGAAAGGGTTGTATGAAAAAGAACCAATGGTACTGAAGGAAGAAACTGAAGCTGCACTGAGAACATTAGCCAAAATATATATGGAAAGTAGCATGGGCTGCCCAAAGAACAAATACCTACATCAATCTTGGCAGAAATACAGCCAGAATGCTCTAGAGCCAAGGATGGTGAGACTTCATCTTATTCCGGACATGTTGCCAGGAGAGGCCAGTCCCTGGAGAAAGATATCATGCTCAGTAAAGGAACCAGGAAAAAGAGGAATGCTCTTGCCAGGCTGGACGGACACAGTGCAGCAACAATGACCTCAAACATATGAAAGATTGTGACAACGGCAAAGGACTACGCCATGATTTGTTCTCTAGGGGGTGTTCCTAGGGTTAGGAATCAACCAGCGCACACCTAACCACACTACACCGGTCAGGTAGAAATGGAGGTGCATGTACCCTATGATCAGGAGGTATTGGGTTATTCATAGCACATTCAGAAGTGAACATAACTTGGGATGTTTATACAAGGTAGGGCCAGGCAATAGGGAAAATGAATGGATTATTTTCTCTCCAGCCAAATTGAATAATAAATACTTAAGCTAAAAGCCAACATATGCCATGTGTGATAAAAAAGAAAAGACCAAAGTCCCTACTATCAAGTGGATTTCAACCCATAGCTGAACTGCCAGCAGAGTTTCCACTAATGGGAGATTTTTGATGTTTTCCCCTTGATAAGGAAAGAAAGTACACTACAGAAAGGGGAAAGAAGTGGGGAAGAAAACCTCTAATCGGCCCTGCAATTCAGTTGAACACATAATTTGTCATCCAAACCAGAACTCCTTTGAGGCCCAAAGGCCCATGTCTGAACCCAGCACTGTCCTCGACTAAGCAGGCTAAACAGAATATGTCGTTATTCTCCCTCTGATATGTAAGTGCAAATCCACATCCATCATTTAACCATGTTTTATCACAAGATAAATGCAAATGACAACTATTCCTAGATATGTACATGAGGAAATAATTGGTCTCTGATTTCAGGTCAAAGGCAAGCAAAAGTTCAGATGTTAGCTGTAAATGAAAACACATTTTGCAGCAGAATTTGGCACCTTGCTGCTTTGTTTTCCCTCAAATTGTGACCTCAAATTAGTATTGCCTGGGTACATTGCATTCTTACATACAGGGACGTGCATTGCTCTATCAAATCAGCAGTGAAACAGAAACCTATATGTTTTTAAAGGTTGCCAGGGAAAGCAAACAAAACGAACTTTCAATTAAATGCTTTAATAACTGGTGGCAACTCTGGCAGTGCCTCTGTGCCATATTAGCAGGTTGGCACCTTGGAGTTTCAACTCCTTATTGAAGGATAGAGCACAAGAAAAAATGGTGAGATCCGGCCTTTCCAACATCTTTCTTGGACTTTTTCCCACCTGTTGACTGACTTTGAGGGGGAAGAACAAGTAGGAGAATTCCAAGAGGCACTCCCTGGGAATCTTCCACACCAGGTTTTTCCTCAGATGCCCCAGCTGACCTCTTTTTGTATTTATTCCCTCAACCAAGCCTTCTCTTTTCATTGCTCTCTGCCCTTCAATTTTAAAAGAATTGACCCAGATCCAGAGAAATTTTAGAAGTTTTGACTTGTGCCAACTTCTTGTGTATGGAAGTTCCCCGGAGATCGGTGACATTATTTATTGAATTCTGCATGCCTTACCAGAGAGAGGGAATGTCCACATATTGGGTTGGGATGCTTTTGTTTTAAGGTTTGTATTCAAGATTTTGCAGACAACTCTCAATTCCTAGAGGTCCTGCTTCCTCTTCCAGTGCTAAGCTAAAGCACTTAGTGAAGAAAGTGGGTTTTGCTATACCAAATCCCAGAGAGAGCTTCTCAGCCAGGTCTGCAAAACTGGACTCTAAAGAGATTCACAGTGTTTGGTCATATACAACTCGACCTGGTGATTCAGAAACCAGCTTTTGAAACTCACCAGTTTGACTTGGCTCTTGGGCAAATCTCTCTGTTCTCCAAATGAGCATCATTGCTCATTCACCAAAACATGCAGTTCCCAGTTATGGACAAGATCCCTTGCTCAGTGCGTCTTAAATTAATTTTGTAAGTAAGTCAGCATGGGTGCAAGAGGTTCTTATTTCACTTTACTTTACTTTAGTGTGAAAGAGGCACAAAGCCTTTCCCATGCTGTAAAATTTACACACACAGCAAGGGAAGGAGATTGTGATGAAGAATCTATTGTGGATAGGGGTGGGTTTGTTTATCTCAAAGTGAAGGCAAGTTTACTTCACATTAAAAGGAAAGTGCAAGTGGTCTGCAAATCTGATATTCCTAACCTGAGAGCTTACTGTACTTAAAAAAGATTCTTCCAACATTGAAAATCAGTTGTGATTTTCAGTATACAATGAGATAAGGGATTTCACGCAATCCACATTCAAGTGGGATGAGCAGTGGGTGCACTATAACAAAACTCGTCATGGTGCTTTGTGATGGAGCCTCAACTGCATTTCATAGAAAGCACTTTATTTCCTAAACAATCCCATTCTGTTGCTATTGGTACGTAAAAGCAGGTAATAAAGTAGAAGAAGGGTCTCTCTGCAGAACTTTTTGGCTGAGATGGCAGCTGTGGAGAATCCTGACAGGGCTTCCCCTCACTCTCACAGCCACTTTTCTAAAACAGCCTCACTGGACCCCATTCTTAAATTCCACACTCTGCTTGCAGCTCACATTATATTGCAATTCCCACTTTGGCTTCTTAGATTTGTTAGATTAAATTGCTCTACTATCATTGGATGTAAGAGTTATGGCCCACACATGATGATCTAGTTCAAAAGAATGTCCAGGGCAGACCAGATTCATGTGTATGTAAGGCTGTGAGAACACAACCTCGCTGCTCTTCTTTATTCCTGATTCTTGTCTGTGCCAGCTCACTGAGAGGATCACTGTCAAGTCAAAACAAAAAAGTCCCCATTTCTAACAGCTATCATCTTACCAACATACACATGAAGAGTGATGTCCCAATTTCATTATCTGCTCCAGCTCCCCCACCCCCTAAGGCTTCTGCACATTTCCTTTTAGAGCCCATAGATGTGGCTGTTCGGCTGCACTGGTGAGCTCGCATGCCCCATAAACTGAATTTACTCAGTGCTGAAATACCTAGCCAAGAAGTAATAAATATGTTTTTCAATTTTATTCAATCACCATCTATTGAGTACAGTGAAACTAGCAGGTTTTAGGTGATTAAAGGGAGATTTACAAAAGTGAGGAAGACCTAATCTCTACCTTTCAGAGAGACCCATAGAGTACAAATGATTCCGTGCTTGACTTAGTCCTGGAAAGACTGGCAGTCCTAACCATCCATGGGCACCTTGGAAGACTCGCTTTGCAGTCTGCTTCTGAACAGTCACAGTTTTGAAAACCTCATAGAATAATTCTGTTCTGAATAGAGAGAAGCCCCATGAGTGTGAATGCAGCAACAGAAGGCAACTAATTCAACTATCCTTAAAGTATTAAAGTACTTAATCCGCCAGGACGTAGAGGGTCTTTATTATGATCATTTACCAAGAAGGTAAAAGTCCTACATCAAGGAACAGGGATCATTCTGTAGGAGACTGGAGATAGTTTTGATTAATTGACTAGGAATATGAATGAAAGTCTCATGGAATTGGTTTTGTTTATGACTGATTTGGAAGCATATAAAAACAAGCCTCCACCAACACATGCGTGATGGCTGTGCATGCGGGAACCCAGCTGGGGATCAAACTCAGAATTGGCCAGCCATGGGGCTCCAGGGTGTTATGAGAGGATTCACAATGTGCGAATTTTCAAATTCAAAATGTGAAGTGTTACATTTTTACTGTTTGAAGGAAACAAGGCTAATCTCTCCCATTTTGTTTCTGCTGCGGCTTTCGATCGATACCCTTTGTGGGACGGATGTTTTTCATGTTCCAGTAGGAATGCCACTGCGAGACTGTAGATCTTACAGAAGCTTCAACCATGCTACTTCAATGATCTGATAGACTTTGTTTGATCTGACAGTTAAGACATATGATAGTTATTTATTGAAAAGGTCTTAACCCTTCAAATGACTTTCTGTAAGTAAGTTTGGTTAAGATAAGCTCTCTCCCTCTGGAACATTATTGTTGGATAGGCAGTCAAATAGGTATAAAGTACATCTTGTTCATTAAAGCACTGCTGTTGGAATGTATGCGTCCTACTAAAACTAATTTATTGGCACAAATTCTATATTAAGATACATAAGTGATACAAGTAAACCAAGAGAAGAACAGAATTTTTTTTTCTTTTCTGACTTTGTAAATTAATGGGACAATCTTCAGTTTACTGCAAAGCATGATTGCTATTTGACTGTCATTCTGTAAGGAGAGTTGCATAGCAATCTACACTTGAGACTAGTGTGGTCCCTAAACAATTCTAGATCAATGGAGTTCTTCAGTTTTGCACTTGGGTGTTTTAGTCATCTTTAGGACCAAATCGAGGCAAGGCTGCTATTTCAGTTTCCTCAAATGGTCAGCTGTCTACCTGGAAGTACTTTACTGTATTATCTGAATGGACCCATTGATAGAACCACTGCAAATTGGAGGAGAGTGCAGGGCTAATTACGGAACAGCCCTGTTTGAAGAAGTTTGTACGAGGCACAATAGAAAAGTTAAAATAAAATAATGTGATGTATTTGTAAAAGCATCTAACATAGTCATAAAAGCAGGCATTGGAATTTAATAACCTTGTTTACTTGCAAAGATGTGCTCTGTTCATAAGCATTTAAGGTGTCACCATTGTGGGGTAGAGCATTTCTAATTTGTTCCTGTAGTTTAAAAAGTGAGAAATAATATTTCATTCTATTTATGGTTTTATGTATTTTGGACAATTCAGAATTATTGATTAATATTACAAGGCGTTCTCTACTGGCATTTTTATACTACAGGTGGAAGTTAAATGGAACAGATGTTGACATTGGTATGGATTTCCGCTACAGTGTTGTTGAAGGCAGCTTGCTGATCAATAACCCCAATAAAACCCAAGATGCTGGAACATACCAGTGCATAGCAACAAATTCCTTTGGAACAATTGTTAGCAGAGAAGCAAAGCTTCAGTTTGCTTGTAAGTAGCAATTAAATCATGCTGCAAATGTTACTTTGAGCTTTTGTATCATTGTACCAATAAGCCTTTAAAACAGTTTATTTTCCAAAACCAAATATAAGTTAATTTACTATACAATTATCTTTATTTGTCATATTTGGGAAATATCTTGTTGGTAGTATAAACTGTAAATCTAAATTGGAAAATGTACACGTCTGGTTTTATAAAGATTATATATATATTATCAATTATATTGTAGTATTGGTATATGATGCTTTGTACATACATAACTTCACACATGGAAATTTACCCTCTTATAGCAAGAAGCTCTAGCAAGACAGTAGTTAAACACTGGTTCGAATCTACCAGCTGCTGCATGGGGAAAAGGTGCAGCAATCTGCTTCTGTACAGATTGCAGCCGTGGGAACCTCATGAAGCAGTTCTGCTCTGTCCTAATAATAGGGTCACTGTGAGTACAAATGCAACTGATGGGTGCACAACAGCAGAGATGCATGCATGCTGGAAATTACACAGAGATGCATATTATAAAGGCAATGTATATAAACAAGCAATCGAACCAACCATAAGTTTCTTAATAGCCACTATAAAAAAATGCTTTAACCTTAAAGCTCAGAGTTGGTGTGTTGTCTTAACTACTATTTTTACTTTGTTGTAATATTTTTTACAATGTCTACATAGAACTCAAAGACAAAATTAATGATTATAGGGTCTATTAAGGGAGTTAGCAGGTTATGATCCAAGTGAGAAATGCTCTAGATACGTGTGATAGCATTCTTTCAGGACTGCTAACAAATTCCAAAAGATCATGCCACTCTACCATTAAAAGTCAACCCAAAGACATTCAGCTCAAACTCCATAGGTCAGCAAATTCAACCCCCTGAATTAAGTGCCTATGGGCACTCAGCTCCACCTCCATGGGTCAGCAAATCCAACTTCTCCAAGCAAGAGCCTAGAGGCCCCCCAGTCCACAAATCAGCCTCCTGCCCAAAGCTCAACCTTACTTGCTCTGTGGGCTGAGAAATCCAGAATCTATACCAAGGTCTGGCTCCTACTACTGCTCCTCTAATATCACAGCTGTCTTCTGGATCCAGGAATCTCTGGGCTCACACAGGGTGCACTCCACTCCTGGCTCTTGCTGGCAGTGATTCTCTTCTGTCCGACTTCTCAGAGGGCCCATTTTATACCCAGCAGAATTGTATTCCAATGACTCTTGTTCATGAATACTCACTAGTGAATCCTATCAGTATCTTCACCATTTTCTTACTCAGACCAATGCAGGAAAAGTCATCTTTTGGGAGTTATAGATATGTGGGCTAGAAAAGTGATATTAAATAATTACTTATTTTCCAGTTAGCATAAATCCTTGGTAGACAATAAATCCTATAATCCTCTAGTTTTCATTTTTGTACTTCATAGAATATAAAAACTTTTAAATTACAATAATAACAAAAAGTAGAAACAACCAAATTGCTACAAACCTTTTGTATTTCTTCAGTCAACCATTTAATGGAAGGCCAGGTGCATTTGAAAGAAAGTTCAATTGAGGAATCAGGAGTTGAAAATAAAATCCACTGACAGAAGCAGTGGGTACCCATTTGAGACTAGATGCCTTTAAAGATTGATGTTCAGTTATATTTTAAAAGTTTGTATATGCATATGATTATAAATTTATTCATGTAAAGTCCCAACTCATCTAACAGTGCATTAATGCCAAAGGCTTTGGAATTTGCAAGTATGTTGACAGCAACATGTAGAATATTCTCATTAGCAAAAGTCTCCCCAGAAACCTAACATCAAATATTCCTAATATCCAGTGCTTAATCTATTATTGCCATTTGGTTGCCTTTTTATTAGTGGGGAAATGAATTTTCTAAGTACTATGTATATTGGTCTTCAAGGTGATTTTGTTTGTGAATTTCTTTTGATTGTCTTTTACATATTCCTAGATACACAGACTAATAGAAGGATAACGTGTCTGATTGAGTGCTCCAAAACCAAACTGTTTCTTTCTCGTGGTTGAGTAATATAATATCCACACTTCACTATTGATTTTATTTAATTTTGCAATGAAAAATGAATCTTGTTTGAGTAATTTTAGAACATAATCATGTTAAGGGATTCTCGAGTAGGAAAATCTTAAGTATTCAGTTAATATTGTAGATGTTTGACTTTTACAGTGTGAAATTTCTAGTAACAATTACAATATATGAAGCAAGATGAAGCATTCCTGGCCTCTTCATCTTAGAACTCATGACATATAAGCACAAGTTTCCATTTGTCATTCTTTGTAAAAGCGCAGGCATTTTTATATACATATGACAGCATCTCATAGTCAAGGGGAGCCACTGAAATAGACTACTTTAACCTAAGAATGGTTCCTCCACCACTACTGTTGAGCTGGCTGCCCTGTGAACCTGCAAGGTCACCTTGCTCATTCTGTGCTTGTAGATACACTTGTCATCTTCAGAATTCCTGGCAGTAATTAGTCAGTTTGGAGAATTCTGGTGAGGACAGCCCCCACATTCATCACATAGCATCCTGACCAATCGTAGACTGCTCTCATTGCTAAAAATAATTTTTAAAAATCCAGATATCTGTTATGAGGGCAAACTCTCCATTTCCATCAGTGTCTTCACTAGTTCTTACTGTTTGATTCTGTTTGTTGTTAGCTTCTGTTGTTAGCTTCTCCCTCACTCATGGAACCCCATGCACAACAGAGAACACACAGATAAACAAAATCCCTTCCATGTCCTATGTTGTGCCCATGATCTGTTGTGGACTGTACTGCTGTGATACATATCATTTTTGTTAAGTGATTTCAATAAGTAAATTGCCACACCTTTCTTCCTAATATGTGTTAGTCTGGGAGCTCCACTTAAACCTGTTGAACATCAGAGCAACATGTATGGACTGAGAATCAAAGCCAACACCTCGACTTAGAGATGAGGATTCTACCAATGCCCTGCCAACGTTCCAATGATTCTAGATGGCTTCATATATGAGGAAATAGGACCATATCCCTTGTCCCATCATTCTTTTCTTCTTCAGATACTAAATCCACAGGCATCTTCTGCACAGCACACTTGATTATATAAATGGATCAGTTAGATCATGGCCTACAGAAATGTGTGCAGTTCTTATATATGCCTTGATTTTTGCAGAAGACACTGGAACCGTTACTGTCACTTCACATGCACCTCTTCAATGAACACAACTGGCAATAATATTTTTTTAAATGGCTGCTTATGTTATTAAGAAGTAAACTGAGGGATGAGGAGAAAGAGAGAAAAAGTTAAGAGGCTGTAAAAGCTCTTTATTAGAAAAGATGCTCCTGGACAAGGTTCCGTGGGCTAGCAAGTATCCCAGGGAAGTTGCGTCCAGCAGCTGGGGACACAGGGTTTAAAGAGGGGGTGAAGAATGCCCGGAATGTGTGGCAATCAGCAGATGGGGTCTGGCTGCCCCGAGAATTGTTTGTCAACCTCTGGAAGTTTCCCTTGTACCCAGAGCATGTGATCTCACTTCCTGGTATCAGCTGTCCTATCTGGCGCCATCTATTCTGGCTTGCTTTCAGTCTTGTGGGGGTGTTCAGCCCTTGCTTTTCTGGTCCCGTCCAGTCATTCCAGCCTTTAAGTGATAAGGAGGTGACATGAGTCGTTCTGGCTACTTCCTGCTGGCAAGCAGGGTGACGAGGGGCAAGTTCAGTAGGCAAGGGGCTGAGGGAAGAAAGGAGAGGAAACGGTGTGACAATAGATCTTGGAACCTGTGGGGAGAAAAGGTTTGAAGAAGTTGCCCCAGGGTGATCTTGAGGGCTTCTTTGGTGAGGATGGTTGCAGCTGCCAGGGCCCAGAGGCACAGCTGCCATCCCTGGACCCTGGACTGTTGTGTCTAGTCTAGTTGTGTGGATAAGCATGCAATTGGAGAGTGGGTGGGTCCCAGAGGCTTGGTGAGGACTACAACTGCCATGCCCTGCTTTTTGTTGGTGAAAAGAAGAAAGGGTTTATTAGTATTTGGCAAACACAAGGGGGTGGGGTGGGGGTGGAGGCATGGTTGTAAAAATGTTTTCTGTGCTTTTTAAAAGCTACCTTGACCTCCCAAGGGCAGTCCAGTGGGGTTCCGATGGGAGTGGCTTTTGCTGCATCATACAATGGCTTAGCTATGAGGGGAAAGTTGGGGATGCAATGTCTGAAAAAATCCACAAAGCCAAGAAAGGAAAGTATCTGTTCAGCTGAGGTAGATGTTTGGAGGTTCCTTACTGCCTGTCATTGATCTAAAGTTAAGCCCCAGGTGGTAGGGGTGAGGCACAGGCCCAAATAAGTGACAAAAGTGCTGGAGAGTTGAGCCTTGGAACATGAAACTCGGTAGCCCTGAGAAGCAAAAAAATTTAAGAGCCGTGCTGTGTGTTTTTTTTAGAACTGTCCAGGGTTGGGCTACGTAACAAAAGTTCTTTACATACTGTAGAAGGGTAGATGGTGACAGTGGGCACTCCTGTAAGTCTGCCGCAATGGCCTGTTTGAATAAATGAGGCGCGTTTTGGAATTCCTGGGTCAAGACCGTCCAAGAGTATTGGGAAGCTGTGTGGGCATCTGGGTCTTCCCATGTAAAGGCAAACAGGTGCTGGCAGGCAGGGTTAAGAGGGATAGTGAAGAAAGCATCCTTTAAGTTTAAAAGCATAAAGTGGGTGGTAAAGGGGGAATGTGGGACAAAAGAGTGTAGGTGTTGGGGACCACTGGATATATAGGAATAACAGTCTTGTTAATGAGGCTATTGGGTTAATGAGTGTCATTGGGTTTTTTTACTGGTCAAATTGGAGGGTTGCAAGAAGAATGAATAGGTGTGAGGAGATTATTTGCAAGTAGAGACTGTATAATAGGCTTTAAACCTTTGTGGTGTGTGGCTGAGATGGGAAAATAGTGCGGTCTTTGAGGCATATAAGAACAGGGTGATGGTGATTAGCAAAAACTGTGGTGGTAGTGTCCCATACCACGGGGTTAACTAGGT